TGCAATCATTTATCTCCCCTCCTTGTCTTGTCTGCAGTCTTGACCTGAGCATCTGAGGGAACAGCTTTAACATGCTGTTCCAACTAGACTAACTAACACAACTACAATGGCTGACTGTTTACATTGTTAATGATGCATTTTTCCTTTCTTTGAATTTCATAAAGTCTTATAAGCAACACAGAAATATATTTGATAGCAAAATAAGCTTTTGATTTGGCTAAGATGCAACCAAGAAATTTATCTATTCTGCTTTTCTATGCAAACATGCATTCTCTTGTAATTATAGCATAATTTACTTGAAAATAAATAGTTTGCCTATGACTTTACTGTACACAACTTGAAGGGAATTGTTTGTTCTACATTTCATTTTGGTTGTAATAGAGGGTCAAATGCTAGCTCTTAGTTATTTTAACAGGCAAACATTTTTTTAATTCTTTCCTTTTTCTCCATATCCATCCAAACTGTATTTACTACTTTATATTGGCAATAAATCCCAGGTAAATACATCATATGTTGCGGTTATAATGTAAGAAAATGTAAAAATGTTCCAGGGCTGTGCTTTTCAAGGCCTTGGATGAAGCTGGCGTTCTGTGTTTGTCTGTGAGCCATATGGCTCAAAAATACTTCAAGATAAAATGCTGACAAAATCAGAGTGCAGGAAGAGGAAATACTTTTATTAACGACTTTACTTTAAGCAAAGATTCATTCTGCAAATCTAAGTTACAACTGCAGTTAAATGTTAGCCTTCTACATAAACTTAAACTAATTTTTATGCCAAATGAGTTAAAGTGACTGAACCACAGACCCGATATTTAAAGTCAACAAGATGAAGTTTTTTATTTTAGATATCCTAAAGTAAAAAAAAATGTTTTGGATTTCCATTTCACTATAGGTTGATAACTTTGTAGATAATTATTAAAAGTTGCAGAAAAAAACATAATCAGCTGCAGTATAGAGAGGATAGGGCTACGATTCAATGTGCAGGTTTTATCATTTAAAACTCTAAGATTGCAAGTCAGTTAAATAAGAAATTCAAAACTCACAGAGAATGACCCCTAACAACCACATAAGTATACTTAAAATATCCAGACAGAACAGGAAAAAGGATTATACAAAACAATATGACTTGATGATTTAGTGTACCATGGAAGGACGACAATTTGATATTTTTATGTGTGTAATAAGACTTTAGCTGCAAAAATGAAGCAATAATTTACCTAAGAAGAGGGGAATAAAATAAGAAAAAAAGCCCTTTAAAATTACATGTGATGCTACTTAGGCCCAGTTGTATTAGTGTTACTCCTAGTAAAAGAATATGCAGCAAATTGGCACCTTAGTCAGCTCAGAGCATTTGTTCAGCCGTTTTATTATATTCCTGTTGATTTTATTTGTATTTATATAAGTATTTTACTTAGAATCAAGCATAACTGAACTAATATACCGCTCATTTTACATTAATATATTTATTAAGTGGGTACCGACAACATCTTTGTCAATTTCTAAAAAGAACTTGGAAAATGTGATCAATTTCCAGAAACCATAATAAAAAGAGACAGAAAAAAAGTAACATTTTAAAGTCTGTACATTGCAGACACCAGAAAAGAAAAGTTTGTTTATAATGCACCATTAAAATCATTAGCAATAGGAAAGTTAACACAGCTCTAAAGTAGTCACTGCGAATTATTGCAGAATTATTGTTTTATTTTAATTTTTAGGATATAGAGACCACATCCTTGCCTCCTTTTCTGGTTTCAATTGTTCATATCAGTGTTTGATTCATGATTTAGAGTCTTTATCAGTGTATCTGTAAAAGGAAATGACCCCTGATGACACAGTTTTCCATTTATCATTATTTATCTTCATCCCTCACAGGAGTTAGTTCTGGATCAGGCCACAGCATCCCTTCTCCTTCATCATTCCTCAAAGACATATCAAGATAAGTTCAAGTTTTATCAGATGCCAAGTTAAAATAACCTACGAGCTGGTTAGTCTTGTGACACACAGTTTCTTGCATCAGCTGGGCTAAAGTGTGAGAGGAAACACCCTTTACTAAGTTGGATAGACTCAGCATTGTTGCGGCAGAATATTTGGAAGTCCAGCTTGTTAAGGGCTCCTCTCAGCAGCTGCAGCCAAATATAGAGCAATAGATGAACGCTTTGTGATTTTCTCGCTGTCCTCCATGGTTACTACAGGCTAAAAGTATAATATTATAATGAAATGCAAATGAGTTAAAGCTCTGTGTCCTATTTCTAGGCTTTCTATACAATCAGTCCTTATAGAAGGCTAAGAAAAAGCAAGTGTCTGTTTGATTTTTTTCTTTTAAAACATGAAAAATTAAAATTGAAACATAAGGCAATTATCTTTTTTCTGTGTCAAAAAGAAATGTGCAAAGTTTAGAAAAAGGGTTTAGGTGTCGTTATCTGTTTCTAACAACACTTTGACCGATGCCAGTGTGTCTCAGGGTTACAGTGGCTGCAGTGTGGCTCACCACCGTCAGCATGTGAGTGTGTGTCAGTGGATGAAGGACAGATTATAGAGAAAATGCTTCAGAGTCCTAGGTATTGATGAAATGCTATACAAATACAAGACATTTTAAGAGCAAAATATCCTCACGTTTCTTGAAGAAATGCTGAGAGGGCTATAGATGACAGGCTTCATGGCTTTTTGCCATTTCATAACAGAGCAAGCTGAAGACGTTTAATTTCATCTGTTAAATATAAAATATAATCATATAAGCACACATAATTCACATTGATCTATTTTATTAACATTAATTTAATTGTGTGTTCTGTGTACTCTATACAGTTTTTTCATATATATAAAAATTTTTGTCTATATATTTTAAATTTCTAATATACTTGCCTTTTTCAAAGGCATTTTATTTTAACATTTCTTGTATGTATAACATCTTTTGTACTTCATGCTTTTACCTTAATCGGCTATGAGACTGCAGATGAAAATAAGCCTGTACTGCTAAATCTGGCATAGACAGATGGATGGATGGATGGATGGATGGATGGATGGATGGATGGATGGATGGATGACAGAGGGATGGCAGATGGATGGATGGATGGATGGATGGATGGATGGATGGATGGATGGATGGATGGATGGATGGATGGATGACAGAGGGATGGATGGATGACAGAGGGATGGCAGATGGATGGATGGATGGATGGATGGATGGATGGATGACAGAGGGATGGCGGATGGATGGCAGATGGATGGATGGATGGATGGATGGCAGAGGGATGACAGAGGGATGGCAGATGGATGGATGGATGACAGATGGATGGGTTGATGGCAGATGGATGACGGATGGATGATCGATGGATGATGGATGGATGGATGGATGGATGGATGATGGGTGGATGATGGATGGATGATGGATGAATGATGGATGGATGGCAGAGGGATGACAGAGGGATGGCAGATGGATGGATGGATGGCAGATGGATGGGTGGATGGCAGATGGATGACGGATGGATGATGGATGGATGATGGATGGATGGATGGATGACAGAGGGATGGCAGATGGATGGCAGATGGATGGATGGATGGATGGATGGATGGCAGAGGGATGACAGAGGGATGGCAGATGGATGGATGGATGGCAGATGGATGGGTGGATGGCAGATGGATGACGGATGGATGATCGATGGATGATGGATGGATGGATGGATGGATGGATGGATGACAGAGGGATGGCAGATGGGTGGCAGATGGATGGATAGATGGATGGATGGATGACAGAGGGATGGCAGATGGATGGATGGATGGCAGATGGATTGATGGATGGATAGATGGATGACGGATGGATGATCGATGGATGATGGATGGATGGATGGATGGATGGATGATGGGTGGATGATGGATGGAAGATGGATGAATGATGGATGGATGGATGGATGGATGGATGGATGACAGAGGGATGGCAGATGGATGGATGGATGGATGGATCTGTGCTTTATGCTGTTGGTCACAGAATCATCTGTTGAGTAATCCTTAAATATCAGCGATGCTCCAGCATTATGTTTTCGCAGAAGGCCAGCTGTTTTAACAGGATGTGTTAATCACACAGGTGAAATTAGATGGTAATCCAGCCGGTGTGGTGTTTCTCCCCTTCTATCAAATAACTGGAGCTCTCTAATTACTTCTAACAGGGCTTTTAGATTTACCCGCACGATTAGAGGACAACATGTTACTGTCCAATTTAGCCCCTGTTCCCTCCTCCCCTCACTCTGCCTGCTTGTTAGTGGAAGAAAGCCTTCATCAGCAGTGGGGTCCAACCCCCTCCTGCCCTGGGAAAGGATGAAATTAGGACGAGAGCCAATATCTAGGACGTGTTTTTAGCCTGCATGTCTTTGAAAGAGAGAAAGGCTGAAAGGTTATGGAGAGGAGACAAAAGAGGGGGGTGAGAACAGAGTGAGGTGGAGAGATAGTTTATTTACTTTTAATGAAGTAAAATTATAAATATATCGAGAACGAAACTGAAGTAATGTTGTGTTTGCTGACTTTTACACCTCTTCCTCGCAGCGTGTTCATATGAATTCTCTCCTGTTCCTGAGAAAATGAGACAAATGTTTGTTTCCATAGCAGGGCACCAAGCTCTGCCAAAGGCCTTTTTCTCCCTTCTTCCCTGTCTGAACCTCTCACTCCTCTTTCTCTTTCCTTTTCATTGTGTTTGTTGTTTTATGGCAGATTTAGACGCAGTCCAGATTGCTCGTTGCCAGTAGAGACTGTCTCAGTTCACCTCCAGCAGGCTCGCCTCTCCATTCATAAACAAATCGCTGCAGCTCGGGGGGACCTCCTAGCTGCTACCTAAGAACAACAAGCAGAACCTGATCTGTGTTATTGAAGTTTTGTCTGCCTCTTCTCTCATTTTCATGAAACTTGCCTCTGTTGCTTCTCTCTCTCCTCTCCTCCCACCCCTCTCTCTGTGTTCGCTGAGGGCCGGACCACTGCTCTGCTCTGCTCTGCTCTCTATGAGCCTATTGGTGAAGGAGTGTGTGTCTTGCATGTCTTCACTGGTAATGTCTTTCTCTTTTTTCAAACTCACTCCACTCATTCTGAGTGTTAAGGCTCTTTAGTACGGGTTAATAGAGCAAAGAGAGAGAGAGAGATGGAGAGAGACCCCCATGTTGCTGTGATTTGACTAAACAAACAGCCATTCTCCAAGCAGTACCTCCTCCCAACGGACTCCTGGGACAGCAGAGATTAACCTCAGACTGAACATCTGAGAGAGCTGGACATTTGAAGCAGCACACCCTGAAGGGGCAACAGCTGGAGAACTCGTCTCTGGTTTTCCTTCGCCGGCCGACAGTTTTCCCCTATTTAGAGAGGGGTCAGAGAGGGAAGACTCATCTGTGTCTGGAGGAGCGTTCTGAAGGTAAAAAGTTTTCCTTATCTGTTGGTCACGGCTGTTTGACACATGTTGGCTGAATGTTTGAATTTCACGCAGTCTGCAAAGGAATCTTAAAGTTGCATATGTAATTTCACAGATGTCTGACAACTGGAACACACAGGAGTTCCTGGAATTGAATCTCCATCCAATTTAGGAAACTGAGAACAACTTTTAAACCTGTTTGATTGCGTGATACCTAATGTTTATGTCTTTGGTATGGGGTGTCTGTTACCCGCATACCTCAGTGTGTACACACAAGCATTACAATGTGAGCAGCCTGTTCAAACATCAACACGTAGATGAGCATCTCTGCACATACACCCCTCTTTTCTCTTTGATGGAGTTTATCTTCTCGCTGCATTACACACACAGACAAACATTCTGGGCTTTACAACCTGTTTGCATGCCCTCCACTTTGTGCTTCGCTGCTAAATAGCCTGTGTATACAACCCTCTTCAGTCACCCAGAGAGAACCAACAATCATCCTGCTGAACACTCCTGACAGAATCAATCTTCTCTGCATACCTCATGGCGGTGCAGCAATGCCGGCATCCGTCACTGACCCCAGCATCCTTTCTTAACTACAAATGAATTCCTTTTGCAGTGATAATACATACTGACTTTAATTGAAAACAGCTTCACCCCTGCTTTAAGATTGACTGGGTCAACAGGCAATCTGTTAAACCGTCTCTTGGCATTCGTCGCAGTAACAAGCTCTTACTAAGTGGAAGGATTTCCCTTTGAGTATTTTATAACAATGTCTCAAAGTTTTCAGACTTATGAATCAACTTTGAGGCTGTTTATTGTCAATCTTATTAAGTGAAGTATTTTACGTGTTTCTTCATTCCTCGTTTCAGATGTAAGTATTTTAAATGAATAAAAATGAATCGATGCCTCTCGTCTCATGGACATCCTTTTAGAGCAGCGTTGTCTCTGTGATGCCAAGGTGATTCAGAGGGTAAAACCGACAGAGGTGCTGCCACTTAATGCGAGTCAGGAAATTCTGATGCAGCCACCCAAAAAAATCACATGTAGAAAATGAAATAAGCCTCGTTATTAAATCATCAGAAAATCTAATCAACGTGTTTGTTGCGTTGCCAACTGCTCAGGGTGTAATTGGCACCTGGGTCGGTGAAAAGCACTTCTACTGTCTTTTTTGTTTTGTTTTTTTGTTTGTAATTGGGTTGAGTCTGAACTCAAGAGTATGTGGGAGTACAGAGCAATTGGAGTGATTCACCCAATACAGATTATATTAACGCACGGCCACTCCTGCCACTATAGTATAAATATATGAATATTGCAGCATTTTTATTATCATTAACTCTATCTTAAGATCTTAGATATACATACAGGGAATTTCCCTTTTATTGATGTTGCTAAAATCTATTCAGACTAAATCATTTGAAGCTGTATCGAGTTTTGGGCTGTGCTTTCTGGCACAGCTGCATGACTTGGAGACTGTTTTTGACCTTAAGAAATGTTTAGCTTATAGTGTGAAGGAAAAATTCTAAACTATATTCCCAAACATGCTCTCGCTATACGTAGTTGAAACAAAGATGTTCGATGTAATTCAAGATCCCGGATTTTGATTTGTTATCGATTCATGTCCAATTGAACATATTAATTATAATAAGTGTTTTCTTGATTCTGATATCAGATTATCTCAGTGGGAAAATGGCCAAGTCATGTTTCCTCCATGTCTTTTTCAGCTGATTGGAGCCTTTTTTACACCTGAACCTGTTAGAGTCATTACTTTCAAATTCGTCTGACAGTTCAATTTATTTTTTTAACTGATTAAGCATGCATTTTCAGTTGCTGTATACTTGTAGGATGGTTTTAAATGTAGTTGGACCAGAAATTTCTGAAGCTGCATTGATGTCCTGGTTAAATATTAGGGGTGTGAGGCTGTAATGGATATCAGAACCACTCATTCCCCAGGCATATGTCTACAGCAGACTAATAAAAATGTTATAAAGAAATACATCTCCAAAGAAGATCTGGGACTTTCCTCCCGGTGCGTAAGATCGCTGGTATGCACCGCAGATCCACTGCTGGCCCTGGTGCTCCAAAGCCCAGTCATCTCCATTCCCTTCTTGGCCTGGATCTAATCCTGAGTCATCAGCTGTTTCCTGGCTGTCCTGGCTCTCTGCATGCCATCCGCAACAAGAAAATGTGCTTCATATTATGACCATGCAGGAAAACATGCCAACACTCTTTTTGGGCTCACATGTGCTCCACAGTGTCGACATGTAACGGTTTGAGGTCCACATGGTGGGTTTTATAGCACACACTTATCCCATTCTGTCCTGCAGTGATTTATTCGGTGCTCTGAGAGCCAAACACACAGCTGCTGAACAGCCACGATATGAAAAACAGAGTCATGCTGTTTGTATCTGGATGAAATATTGAGTTTGAAAACTTATTTATAGCTGACGTCTTATCACATGATTATCAAGGCACTTATTGATAACTGTATGTTTTCTCTGACTCATATCCTGATGCTCAGTTATTGCATGATTCATGTTTCAGTTGAAACAGTTGGTTCTCAGTAATCCATTGCTTCTCAAACGTTTAACTCACATATATCTAATGAAGAGCGCTCAGCGTTTCAGCAATCTTGTAATGCTGCCCGTCCATCTGGCTCCCCTCCTCCTTCTTTTACCTCCTCCTACTCTCTTAGGGAGAGCTGTCAGGCAGCTGTATTTCATCTTCAGTCAGGAAGTTTAGCCTCATCTGCAGGACAAGTCTTTGAGGAAACATTTATTTTATTGTATCCATTTTCTCTCCTCTTTACTATGACATTGTGCTTTTGGGGGAAATTGACAATAATTCCAAAAAACTAAAGTTTACATACATGGTATAAAATTTTTAATTACTGTGTGACATTACATCAAAGCTTATTTGTTGTCATAAATCAGTCAAAATCACCAACATTATTTGTGTTTGGCAAATCCTAAAGGTAAAAGAAAAATATTTTCCACTGATTTTGAGTTCAGGGCTTCTCTTCTGTCCTGTTGATGTGTTTCCAAGTTTTAACTTCCTGTTTGATGGATGAGATTCTGCCTCAGTATTTCAACATAATATGCTTTCCAAAGGATGCCACATGTTGAGAAGTGCATTGGTTCCTTCTACAGCGGCACGCCCACACAGCATGATGCTGCCATCCCTGTGGACCACAGCTGGGAGTTTGTTCAAGCGTTTACAATCTTAATATTTATTCATTAGACTACAGAGCAAAGATATGCTTTAAGACGCTCTGTCAATGAGTGCTTTTTAAAACTGCATCTGGCTTTTTTGGTTATCTTAGAGCGTCTTCCTCATTGGTGAGTGCTCTTTCAAATGTTTGCTTAGTTTCCCTGTTGATGATTTATTACAGCTTTTTTTCAGTTGATAGAATGGAACCAAAACATGTTCATCTCTGGGACATTGAACCCATCCTTTGCTGATAATTGCTGGACATTACCATGGTTACTAATTGCTAACATATGAATGCAGTATTGTTAGACTTCTATAAATTGTACCCAGAGATGAACCACACTCTCTGAAGAAAACAATTATTCTTGGATAACATTACTAATTGTTTATTTTACTGTAAGAAGCAGTTTGTTTTTTTAGATGTAGTTTGATTTTAAACTCTAAAGTTTCTCACTTTAAAGAACTTGATAAATTTCTCTAAATATCTCCTTTGTCATTCTGGAAGGAGAAATAATGAAAGGATCAGTAGGATTTAATTTAAGATGGCCATATGTTTGTTAATATAAGGTTTTAAAAAACCCTTGATTTTAAGTGAATATCAATACAACCTCTTAAAACTGCTCCTTGAAAAGAAGTTTAAAAGAAAACAGAAGTATTATATTCCCTTTTTATGGTCCAGCTTTATTGATCTAATTTCAATTAGGTCAACAAGGCTTAACAATAGCTCAACATTTTGCAACATGTCATTGTTAAAGGTAAAAAGTGTATTTCTTGTTTTTATGTATCAATTATTAAATGATTATGCCCTTATCCTTAAATGACCAGCTTAGACTAATCTGATTTAAGATGTTTATTATCTTCCCTCCATTCATAGCAATCAACACAACCGCAACATAATGCAATGAAATGTGTACTTTGTTCCATTTACTTGAATAGCACTCACAAAAAAGAATTGTGCAAAGAAAAGAGAACACTTTTAATATGATTGAAAGCATTATTAGCTCTTTGATTTGAATGGCAAATACTATACTTAGTAAAAGCATTGTGCGTAAGTAAATGGTTTAGATATCTATGCTAACACATTATGTTACACATTTATATAGCTGAGATTCATAAAAGCAGCAGTAAAAGTCTTTGATGTATTCTTCCCAGCCTACAAATTTATAAAATCATAATTTTTTTCTCTTAAGTCTGTGCGTACAGAACAAGGCAAATTTTCAACAGGAAGTTTTCGTCTCAGATTCTTTTTTTCTCGCTAGTCTCTCTGGATAATATATTATCCAGAGAGTTGTATTCCCTCCAACAAAAACATTTTGAAGTCGCTGATACAGTGCAATGGGAAACGAGGACAAAGAAAAACAGCCCAAAGCTTTTAAAAGATAAAAATATTATGAACAGAATGAAGTAGAGACAAGGTTTCCACCTCCATTCGTTGCTCACATTCATAAAGTACGTGAGAAATCAGGAACTTAAGATGTTTTACTAGAAACAATTTGATTTCCTTTTGCCTTTGTAGCCATTTTCCTGTTTTCATGTATGTAAGAGTATAGGTGGAATGTAAAGCCAGTCAGTCCTAATTGTATTCAGCTGCTTCTTTGGTGGGTGTTGGAGTGCACGGGGTGGGGGGACCCCCAACCTCACGGGTTTTGGGGTCAGTTTTCTGAGGATAATCAATTAAAAAGGAAAAAGCTGAATGGTTTTGTGCCATTTATGTCAGAAAACACACATTTGACTCTGATATGTAATTCTCATTTGCCTACAAAAACACAAATCACTAGCATACATTAATG